AATCAGAAACAATGTTTCCAGCATCCATGGATCGTCAATATCCCCGATCTTGACCAGTACGAGGACGACGAGGTCAACCCTGACGTCGTCGAGGAGCTTTCAGACATCGGGGAAGATGTGGAGGACGAGCTGGACGCATCCCAGCTTTCGCTCAACGAGAACGCGGTACAAATCCTAGATGAAGAGGGGGACGACCTGGCTCAATCCAAAAAAATTAAACTCGATTACCCCCCTGCCAATATCCATTACCCGTCGCTCCCGGAAATCGAAAGCTTCGCGTCCCTTCAGCCAGTGGCACAATCTACTCCGAAACGCCTCTTTGGTGAGATCACGCCGTCGGTCCTCCACAGCTCCCACGCGTTGGGGGAAAATGTGGACGCGTTCGAGGGCGATGATTACAGCATCCATGACTTTGTGTCTTCAACTGGTGAGTCGATGATAAGCGACGGCAACAGCCTATTTTCTATCCTCTCCCTCCCGGAAAACCCCATTGCCGGATCTGCACCTAGCTTGATGGGAGCTGAGAAACTTATTGGGCAGCTGAACGTGAACTCACGCGACCCTGGCACATCGAGCCCCATTCCCCAGGGCGCCGAGGCACAGGAACCGCCAACTAAAGCGAACATAGGCGACCCGGTCAAGCAACCTTCGAGCACGAAACAGCGGACCAATGTTGTGGATGAGACCCCCAAGCCTTCGGCCATATTCAGTCGACGGATAGAGCTGCCCATGCCTGATACTGCCAGTGATAGTTCAAGTCCGGAGCCTTTCTCCAAGCAAAAGACCCAAGAGCCTGAAGATCGAACTGGAGAAGTGGAAATTTTCAGTATCGAATTGGCCAATACCATCGATGCCAAAACAGGAAAGCAGCTTCCAGATATAAGCCAGAGACCAGAACCTCCGGAACCGCCCGCAGAACCTGATCCTGAACCAGATGAGGTGCCACTTCAAATTTCGCAACCTATGCCTCAACGGAAAGAGCCTCGACTTCTCCTTGGCAAGTTGAGTACCCTGCCTGGATCGGTATTCGACCTCACCCTTCGCTTGGAAAACCGAATGACTTCATGGGGTCGGGGCCCCCAAGCAACTATCTGTTATCCCGACCCAATGGACACACGGGTTCCTGCATATGCCTTGGAGGTCACCTTTTGGGCGCCGGCCATCGAAGCCAAAATCGCCGATGGCAAAGACTGGCTGACTGTCCCGGGGGTAATGGCCATTCTGTCTACCAAAACACGCCAATGTATCTGGGTAAATGACACTGAGCTGCGACGCGGGCCTGAGGGGGACAAGAACAATCGGGAGGGTTTCCACTTCGGCAAGCTTTACACCGGCGACGTCATTACTATTTGGCAACATCGAAACAAGTTCTTGAAGTTCGAATGCGAGTTTTATCATGGAGACAGCGCGCGTCCGCGACCCGAAGCCGAGAAGGGGTTCACAGTGCGCAAAGTGCTGATGCCCAAGGAGAAGGCTGCTAATCAACTTCCGGTACTCAAAGATTATGGAAAGAAGTGAGAGGGTTCTTGCTTGGTCGAGTCGGATAGAAACCAAGGTGAGCCAAATGGGCTTGTCAAATAGGAAAATGGGTGTTTTATATAATCGTTTTGGAAAGCTGTGACTTATTTTTGGGTTGGGATTTGTGCTGAATTCAGGAAAACTGGGACGGGTTACTGCTTGATCGCCCATGAAACGGAGCTACGGTTGGATGTTGAAGATGAAAAGCCAGACAAGATACACCCCCTGTGATCCATGATATCATTTACGCTGTTGTATACTTATGAATACGCTGAGAACGTTTTACATCTTATGGTAATTTTCTTATTCTTATGGTGAGAGGAATAGTGTTTTGGTGGTTGTCATGTAGTCTACAGTATGTGCTGGGCTGTACATACTCAGTTCGGGCCGAGTGACCCTGAGACGAACTCCCTACCCATTGGGTTAGTCTTGGAGATTAGTGTGGTGGAGCCCCTACTTTTTTAGCCCGACTTAGCTTCAATTGCACTATCAATCGTCTTCAAGTTCTCCATCGTCATTAATATCGGGTTGTACTCAGTATGAGCACACGAACTCAATCAACCCATACATTTGAACCATGAGAACCATGAGAACCATGAGGCTCCTTCCTGATCATCTGAAACAGTGTTATGGATGGGTCGGTCCAGCTACTGCCGCACCCGGAAGAATGCCAGGCAGAACAGCTAGACAAAAAGTCCTTCGCTCGCTGTGGTCCAAGCGAGGGGGCGGGGCTCTTCCCCATTGAAGGTTGATTGATTTTAATTTCCTTTGGTAACAGTCTTCATCTCCTTTTCCTCAACCCCCACCAACCACCGATTGCAAATCCCCCAATCCTAATCTTGTTTGAGAATCGGCTGCTCATTGTGTTCGTGTCACAGAATCGTTTTGTACAGCCCCAAGTATCTGCACTTTTCTTGAACAATGGCCATGTCCCACTGAAAGTATAGGCGCGCGCGCGCGCGGAAGGGTACAATTCGGCTCTACTACCTACATTCCCGGTGACTGTCGACCTTATGGCCGTAGCTCTGTCCGTCCCTAAACCACTTGCACCCACGGTGTGGTTCTGCTGGGGCCACCCCTAGCGTGTGCCCTTGGAAATGAACCGTTGCGAGTGACAAGTGGCCATCCACTCCCTCGAGTTCGACGGAAACGGGCAGACCCGTTCACGGATGGGTTTCTGTGCCTGTTCCTGTCTCCCATTCCTTTTCCGTCCCCCAGTTAATTTTACTTTTAATTTTCTTTTCAAATGGCTTGGTTGTTGTTATCTAGTAGCCTCCATGTCGACCATATCTCTCCCTCACGGCGCTCTGGGTCCATTTTTCTCTCTCTGTTCCTCGTTCTTCAACCCTTCTGTCCATGAAACGGCATCCCTCTCCCTACGCGCTCGTCTCCTCCGACAGTTGCGCCGACTACCTGTTCAATAACACCTCAGCTTGAGTGGCCGTTGTGTTCGCTTGAAATTGCCACTTTTCTCGTCTTGGTCGGCTCCGACACCCCGCCCATGTCGTTCTCCCGGTCACCATCTCCCCACCCGCCGGGGGTGGGAGGATGGTCCAGCCCCGGATTCACACACGGCAGTGGCACATCCACGCCTCACAGTGGCTTGCTCTCCCCGACTGCCCTAGGGCCGAGTGGGATCTCATGGGCCGTCGCCAAAGCCAAGAGCGACGAGGTGCGAGGCTATCCATCCTTCGCAACCAAGAACAACGGATTCTTCTCGCGGTCGAGGCGTCAGTTGTCTGCGACGCTGCCGCGCTTTCGCCTAGTATCAGGATCCCCGAATGGCTACGTTGATAAGGACGAATTCGGGCGGGGGTACCCGTTCACTAGTTCCGGTGACGGCTGGCGCTCCTGGGGATTTGGCAGGGCGGTGTTTCGACGTAGGCGCTCGCGGCTGTTACTGGTTCTGGTCGCTTTCGCGCTCGGATATGTCTTGCTGTGGACACGTACGTAGGGACAGATATCGTTTGCGCGCGCAACCCACGATTCACTGACCCATTGTTACAGGGATCATCGAGGCCTACAGACGGTCATCATTGGGTGGTGGGCGCAAGTTCGTCATTATCCTAGAATCGAATATCGAAGGGGGAGTGATGGAGTGGAAGGGCGCGCGGGAATGGGCGATCGAGCGCAACAGCATCGGCAACAAGGATCACTACGCCAAGCATTGGGGGTACGAGCTTGAGACGGTCAACATGCTGGCCAAGAAGCGCTATTCACATGAATGGCGCGAAAACTGGGAGAAGGTTGACATCATTCGGGAAGCCATGCGCAAATACCCCGATGCGGAATGGTAAGTCATGCTGTACTAGCCAAGGGAAAGAGGGAGTGCGTGATAGCTAATTCTGCTGTAGGTTCTGGTGGTTGGACCTGAACACCTGGATTATGGAGTACTCGTACTCCCTGCAGGACCATATATTCCACCGGCTTGGCGAACTTGCTTATCGCGATATCAACGTCTATAACCCACTTGGCATCAATCATCCTCTCAACGATCCCTACTTGGATCAGGTTTCTCTCTCTCCGAGCGGGGATAACGATACGTCCTCGATCAATTTTCTTCTGTCGCAAGACTGCGGCGGGTTCAACCTCGGCTCCTTCTTCATTCGACGATCCCTCTGGGCCGATCGATTGCTGGACGCCTGGTGGGACCCCGTGATGTACGAACAGAAGCATATGGAGTGGGAGCACAAGGAGCAAGATGCGCTGGAGTATCTCTACACCAACCAGCCGTGGGTCCGCAGCGGGGTGGGCTTCCTTCCGCAGCGGCAAATCAACTCCTTCCCTCCTGGCGCCTGCGGCGACGGGGGTGACTCAAAGGTCCATTATGACGAGGGAGATTTCCTGGTCAATATGGCAGGCTGTAACTTTGGCCGGGACTGCTGGGGTGAGATGTACCAGTATCGCGAGTACAGCAAACAGTTGAATCGCCCACCATGGGACCGGTTCAGGGAACGGCTGAACGAGCTCCGCGACAAGCTACTTCCTCGCATAGAAGAGGAGACGCAATGATAGGTGTTTACGATGGGTTTGTGAGGCCTGCATGATAAGAGATGAGGAGTATGGGGACTACTTGTGCATTAATGTGGACTTTGTAAATTGGCCAGGCGTTTCGGCTTCGCTTTCGGTCTTTGTATGAGTATATTATTCGATGAGGAACTCAATCAACCACTTACATTATTCAGGTGAACTTGACACATGAAACACCGCTCGTATATCTAGTAATTTACTCAAGTTTGCAAACCATTACTCAAGTTTACAAACCAGCTTCATAGAACACATAATTACTAATCATCAATCACAACCCGCAGATGAAAACAGCACACCAGCTCTCTCCCGCCCACCCTAGTATTCTTGCCTGCAGTGCCAGCTTAAATGCGGATGCTCAATAACGCGGCAGTGACCGCAGACCGCCCGCCCACCCCACCCAATCACAGCCCCCCAATTGCATTTGCTCCCATCCTCTCTCAATTCCGTCCGAACTTCATGAACCTCCGTCCGAACACTCCGAACCATCAATCGCCCTCCCAATCCGCAATTGAACCCCCTCCACCACGAAACCTTTCACCGCGGAGTGCACCTTTCCTCTCCCGTCAACGAATTTCTTCGATCCGCAACCAAACCGAAAACAAAAACCCAACCCGATCAAAATGCCCACCCCGGAATCCGCCGCCTTTCTGGCCAAGAAGCCCACCGTGGCCCCGACCTACGACGGCGTCGACTACGAGGACAACGTCGCGCTGCACAACGCCCGCGACGCCATCATCCGCGAGCAGTGGGTCCGCAGCATGATGTCGCGGCTGGTCGGCGAGGAGCTGGGCAAGTGCTATGCGCGCGAGGGCGTCAACCACCTCGAGAAGTGTGGGGTTTTGAGGGGTATGGTTTTTTTTTTCTTTCCGTCTGATTGAGTGTTCTTGCTGTGGTCCTTTTTGGGCGTGATTGGGGTTAGGATTGGAGGGGGTTTGGGGCTTGGTTGGATGGGATGAGGGATTGGGGTGGTTGAGTTCTGAGTACTGCATACTGCGTACTGAGGTTGAGACTGAGGAGGGTTGGGGATGGGATATTCTATTCCGAGAGGGGTTGGCTGAATGCTACTCTCAGTTGCCCACTGTGTGTTTCTGTCGAGGCTTGGGACATATGCTAATATCTTTCTGCTTCGTGTCTAGAAAAATACTTCGAACTCCTCGGGGAGCGCAAGATCAAGGGTTATCTCTTCCAGGAGAAGAACCACTTCTCGCAGGAGAAGTCTGCTTGAATTGTTTAAAAGGGTGAAAGGGGGGATAGAATTGAGTGAAGGAAGTGGAGGGGGGGTTGGGGGCGGGGAGCTTTTCATGATCCTGGTGATGAGCATCGCAGGGGCCGGGGATGGTGTTTATACTATATCGTCTTTTTTTTTTTTGTGTCATGGTTGTACTACATGTTGCTTTTCGAAATTTCTCAACGGTTTTCTGTTTCTTGTCTGCTTTAGCTATACTACCTACCTACCTACACACCCCCTCACCTATGCGATGTATGTCATTGGATTTGGGTGGAAAATATCGATATCGGGACCTTTTCTTGCTTTGTGATTCTGGGTCAGGCTGCGAGAGGTGGTGAGGTTGGTGTATGTAGAGGAGAGATTTTAGAAGAGGGTTGGAGTAGAGGAATAGTGATCACGACTCGATTTGTATTAGACATATGTTGCTATTTGATCAACTACTCCTCCGCTCATCAACAGGGTATCAATAATATGCACTGTCCGTCCGCCCCGGTACGGTTCCGGGCGTCCACACCCTCGACACACCAGCAGGCTCCTCATCGCTCTCCTCGACATCGCTGCCCGGCCCAAAATCATCCTCCGCCGGCGGCGCACGCATGCGCACCAGCTGCTCCTCGTCCAGCGAGGGGATCCGGTACGCACCCGGCGGAGCATGAATATCACGGCCCGAAGGTAACTTCGCCAACAGATTCGCCGACGGCGGTATCAACTGGGTGTTAATCTGTCGTCTCAAACGTCAGCATCATTTCCCACCATTCATACAAAGGCAGGAGCAAAACCAACCGTATTGTTCATCCGCACCCACTTCGTCTCCAACATCTCAATCACCCGACCTTCCTCGTCTCTCCCCGCATTGTCCCCAGGCCCGAGCTCCTTCTTATCACTACTACCACCCTGCGACCCAGCATCCTTCTCCATCTTCTTCTCCTCGAGTTTCTCCTTGAACCCCTGCTTGAACCTGGAGAACTTACTACCCCCCTTCGACGCAGCCTCTTTCTCCGCCTCCGTCTTCGCGCCACCGCCGCGGCTTCTCACCCCCAGCGCCCCCTTGGCCGCCTGCAACCACGCAATCGCCTCCCCGATCTTCCCCGCCAACTCCGCATCGACCCCAAAGAACCGACACGCGCGGGCGCGCGCCACCCGTCCCAGCACCCGCGTGTACCCCAGCAGCTCCTCCTCAATGGCCCCGGTCTTCCCGGTCCTACCTACGACGGACCCCAGCCCCGCCGCCGCTTGCTCCGCGTACTCGGCGGCCCGGATACACAGGCGGGCGAACAGGTGCGCGCGCACCTTCGGAATCTCCGGCGCCCGCACCATCCAATCCTTGTCCCGGGGATTGCGCGCCTGGATGCAGGCGAAGACGTAGGAGTCGTCCTTCAGGACGGCGAGGAGGGTGGCTTCGGCGAGGGCGAGGGCGGAGAGCGCGGTTTGGGTGCCTGGGTCAAGGTCGGGGAGGGAGGGGGTTGTTGTTGCGGTAGACGTGGTGGTAGGGGCTGCGTGCGGGGATGTCATCGATGTCGACGCAGCAATGGCGCGGGCGGCGGTCGCGAAGGCAGGAGATGAGGCGAGGAGGTTGTGGATGGCGCTGGCTTGCAGGAGGTATCGGGTGGCCGTTTGGACGGCGGCGGTGCGTTGGTCCGGCGTCGGGGTCGTCGCCGCGTACAGCGTCCGCATCAGCCCTGTGTGCGCCAGCAGGCTGAGCACATAGCCCAGCGTCGTGAGCACGTAGGCGATCTCGAAGTCAAGGCCCTCCCCGCGGATTCGGTGGCCGCTGCCGCTGAGGAATTTGCTGCCGCCCCCGCCCCCGCTGCTGGGTGAAAAGGCGGATGGGGAGGTAGGGAGGTTTTTGAGTGATAGGGTGGTGCTGGGTGCGGTGGTGAGGGTCGGGCGCCAGAAGGTGACGATTTCGCTGTGCAGGGTGATCTCGATCTCTTCGCTGGTCGCGTCGCTGGGCTTGCTACTTAGACCGCTGGAGATGGCTTCGAGATAGGGGAGGTAGGTGGTTAGGGTGGTCAGGAGGGTGGATAGGTGCGCGTCTTGTTGCGGGCCGCGGGGTAGACGCTTGTGGGCTTTGAGTGCCTGACGCAGGGCATGGCGGGCGGTGGTGGCTGCTTGCGGGAGGGATGGATGTGTGCTGGATGAGAGGAAGTTCTGGAAGGAGAGATGAGAGGTAGTCGGAAGGGTGAAGGCGTAAACCATGGTGGGTGGGCGTGTTTGGTGCGGAGAGTTGTTGTCGAGAGGAGGGAAAGGTGAGGGGAGAAGCGGAGGTGGAACTACGGAGTTATCAGTTATCCGTTGGCGGTTGGATGAGACCACCCACCGCCGGCCAGCCAAGCATTGCCTAGGAGTTCTCATATAGGACAGAATCACAAGGATTCATCTTAGTGGTTGAGATGTTTTATACATTCAGCTCATCTCAAGTACGCGAGGCTCCTGAATTGCGCCCCTAGTAAGGTAGATACATGAAAACCCTCCCATGTTGTCCTGCCATCCCTCGGATGCATTCTCGCAATGACATCGTCCTCTTGTTTCTCAAGTTTGCGCTGGACTCGGCCACACCGCTTATGTTGCAATTCTGGATGGCGTAGCTCCTGTGCTTAGCGTCAACGATTTAGGTCGAAGGAGGTTGTGCCCCCGGCCGGATGGCGAATGGGATGGCTTTCTGCTACTAGCAATGCCGTTCAGCTGGACCAGCCAACTGGGGTCGAATGGGCGAATTGGGTCCCAAACGTGGAGAAGGGGATATTCTCATACGCGAAGATTCCGCGCTTGACTTGGGGTACTGGGTCTCATGGTCGGAGATGACCAAGGAAACCAAAGGAGTCATCGTAGATAGAATGCGGCACACTTCCATCTATCCCATCACACGTCCATTCCCTCTCCATCAGACAAATTGCTCGGTGCACTGCTCACGACCGAGGAGTCGCTGTCGGCCATATAGGGTGCGCGGGATCGCATCTGGGACCCCCAATCCTGCAAGGTCGGTGCACCGCCCTCGATCACGATCGGGTGTTCCTCGCCGCTCTTCCCCAGCACGGTCCCCGCATATCGCGACTCTTCTCCCGTCTTGCTGTGTTTCTTCTTCAGGGCCGTCAGGAAGTCCTCCTTCTCCAGGGAGTCCGCGTCCACCATGTCCCCTTCACTGGGCACGAACCCAGCGATGCGCCGGATCTCGCGGTTGGCGGGGCCGGTGAACCACGACAGAAACCCTTCTAGTCCTCGCATGTCCTCTTCCGCTTGCCATTCCTCCTCCCATTCCCGCAGCTGCGGCCGCAACGCGCCTGCATCTTGTAAGGCCTGGTAAATATCTTCGAGCACGGGGATGGGGTCTTCGGGGTGGGCGTTGGCTGCATGGGCGCTTGTGGATGAGGCAAGGAGCATGATGTATCGGGCCGTGAGATCGGCGAGAGTGTCTAGGACTGAGGGACGCGTCGAGTGGAAGCCTGCAGCGCGCAGGATCTGAATGATCGGAGGGCGGAGAAGAGCGTTATGTAGATTGGAGCCGGACATGGCTGGAGAATTCGATGGCAGTGAGGTGTGATAGAGGTCAGGTTAAAGTGAGGGAACCTTCTCTATCGGGCGATTGATCAAATCAAGCTGAAGAACAAGGCAGTTGAGGCGCGCACATGAATTGGAGAAGATAAGAAGGATGGAAAGTTGAGGAGGAACAAGCGGAGTTCAACCAGGCCGTTTCGCTCTTCCGCCTTTCCTTCCTCCCTCCGCCTACCACCACCACCCTTCACCATCACCACCTCTTGCCATTACACCCTTCCCCTTCTCATTTCTCACTATCTCCCTCAGAATTTCCAGAAACCGCCTTGCATTATTCAGATCTAAATAGCTGATACTCGCCGCCAGTCTGGTGGAACAACTTTCGTCATGTCGGAGACCCCCCGGCCGTCTCTGAAGCTCACCTTCAACAAGAACAAGGCGAAAGCATCAGCGCCTTCGACCCCATCTCAACCTGCCCCTCCTACGCCAAAGCCAGCGGAGACTCCCCAACGCAAGATCACGCTCAAGATCCCACGGAAACCATCCGTTGCCGAAGGAGCAGGAGAAGATGAAAAGCCGAAGAAGAAAAAGCCGTCCAAGAAGCGCCCAGCAGAGGGGCCCGCGGTACCAGAACCGTCCGTCGCCGCCGCCGCCGCCGCCGCGACCGCATCCGCTGCAGCAGGCCCCAAACGCCTCAAGCTGATAAATCCGGCCAAGAAACCCGGCGTGCAGTCTATCCGAATCAAGAACAAGGGGCTGGTCCCCAATCGCCCGACCGGTGTTGGCTACGATTCGGAAGCCTCCGACACGGAGATCGATCCCGCGATCGAAGAGCAGTTTATCCTACGCATGCTGCCCGGGGACGACTGTGAATATCTCCGCCGTGCCATCGCCGAGCGCCGCTTCGACCGATCGGAGTTCTCCTTCAAGCCGCTGACGCGCGAAGGCCGCCGTGCCATCTTCAAGGTCCGCGACCGCCAGTACGCCGCCGCGCTGGTGGACTTGCCGTGCATCATCGAGGGTATGAAGAGTTGGGATCGGCGCGGATGGTACAAGTCTGCGGATATCTGCCAGATGCTGCTGATCCTGGGCCCTGTGGCCAATGAACAGGAGGCTCTGGATTATCCAATACCGGACGAGGTTTCCCTGACGGATGACAAGAACCTGCAGTATCCGCATGGTCTGGCGCCGCCTCTACGGTGGGTTAGAAGGCGTCGGTTCCGCGAGCGGGTCAGCACCCGGACGATCGAACAGGTCGAGAAAGCGGTGGAGGAGATGGTCGCGCAGGACGAAGCCTCGATAGCCCCGCCTCGCTACGAGTTGGTGGACGCAGCCTCGTTGAATCGGAACGAGGGTATAGTGCAAAGTGGGGAGTATGAAGACTACGGTGACGAGTATTACGACGAAGAACAGGATGCAGAGGGCGAGGTTGATGAAGCTATGGACGCTGGGGCTCTGTTTGAAGACGATTTCGAGGACGCTCTCGCAGCTGAAATGGAGGCTGCGCTGGCTGCCGGAGACGAGGGCGATGCTGCTGCTGCTGCTGCTGCTGCTGCTGCTGCTTCCGCCGCCGCGGCCGGTGTTGCGAGCGGTCCGCACTCAGACGCTGGTGTTTACCAGGCCGGTACGCCTATGGCGACCAAACCCTCCACACCAGCAGCCGACACATCGGGCGACGAGAGTGACGGATCGGATGGTGAGGATAATGATGAGCCGGGCGACGAAATGGATGAAGAGCAGCTGGAGCAACAACGCCAGCTACAGCAGCAGCGCGAGGAAATTGACGAGCTGGAGGCTTTGATCCGTGCCGAGACAGTCAAGTGGGAGAATATGCCGAACGCCATTCTTAAGAACAAGCTGGCCAAGCGCATCAATGACCTGAAGCAGGATCTGGCATTGAAGAAGGTATCCATCGGAGAAGGAGACGATGCTGATGATTGAAATTGATGTATACTGTGATACCCTCGCGGCACCGCCTGGTCAGACAGCCGAAAAAAAAACAAACCAAATTTATGTCCACATTAATCATTAAAACATCTCGGACTCGACAAACGAATATCAGAAAATCGTTATGTGCCATTTTCCCAAAAATGAGCTCTATCCACAAAGACAAAGAAGCCTCTCATGTCATTAAGCGCGAGCATTCATCCAATAACAGGATCCCCCGTGCCTCTGGCGACCGCCCCCTTGACATCCAACTCCCTATCCTGCTTCAACTTCCGCTCCCTGACGGCCTCCCTCTCCGCCAACACCCCATCATCGTCCGGCTCCGCCGGCGACTGTCCCACCCGCTCCCCCAGGACCCGCTCATGCTCCTCGGCCTTCCGGTCCATATCCGCCGCCAACCCCTTCTCATACCCTGGGCCCCCGGGCCCACTGGCACTACCCACCGCACCGGCATGGGCCCCGGCCTGCGCTCGCGCGCGCGCCCGGCCGGACGTGCTCTCCACCGCGTGGGCGATCTCCCCCTCCGCCGGCTGCTGCTCGACCCCGTACTCCAGATCGACCCCTGACGCCGCCCGGTGCAGGGCCTCGCGCTCCTGCTCGCGGTCCGCGTTCAGCTGGCGCAGGCGCTCATCGTTGGCCGGGCGGGAGTCGGCGGTGCGCCGCGTGATGGAGGAGGTCGGGTCCCCGCGCTGTCGGGTTTCGGATTGCTGGGGTGTGCGCTGCTCGTAGGGCGTCTGGGTCACCGGGTTGGAGGCTTGGTTGTAGCCGGCCTCTTTTGGGGGTTGGGCGGGTTGGTCGGGTTGGTGGGTGGATTGCATTGTGTTTTGTAGCTGGTAGTTCTTCGGGCTAGGGTATCAAGATTGTATCGGACTGTTTGCTCGTGTGGGTGTGGGTGTGTGACTGCTTCGTGTAAAAGGTGTCTGGGATTGGAAACTGTGGTTTGAAAGTGGTCTGTAGTGGTCTGTAGTGCTGGGTTGTAGTGAGCTGGGTGGTAACTTTAGTTTATGAGTATTGGGATGGGATGACGTCAGTGATGATGTCGGTTTGCGGGTGGAGGGGGGGACGAGCTGAGAGATGAGAGTCTCATTGATATCGGACATTTGTGATTGGATCTCCGGGGTGAATTGGTGACTCCAGATAATGATGCGCACTCGTTTCGAATTCTGCCTTTATTAGTTGTTTCGTGTTTTGCTGGGATCTAACTTAGTCGCTTGAGCTGTCCGCTGGTTCAATATACTGTATTCTCGATGTGACGCCCGGATATTAGAATACCACCCACATTTTCTGCCAATATTAAATGATTTGAGACAAGGCCATCAAGTTATCCTCTCAGAGGTACGAAGCAGAGCAAAGCCACTATCTTTTTTCAAAGTGGAGTTCCGTAGACAGAGACCACATACCCCCATGCGAATCCGGAGTTCAAGTTATATAGTATATATCTAGCTGGGCGACGAGGCGTACGTGTTATTGTGAGCGCTTGATGGATCAAGCCCAACCGGATTTGGTTCCTCTGGTATTCTGCCTGTCTCCGTGTGCATTGAATGGCTTGAATTGTGTTGCTTAAGGCTCTCGGACACTCAAAATTTTGGGTTGGGTTATCGATGCTGTCTTGTAGGACGGGGATTGATATTGCGAATAAGGGTGTATGCTAAGTGCTCTGTCAATTTACTCGTAAGCATGAGGTGTTGGAATGGTCTTTGACAATTGCTGGAGGTTCTTTTGGGGTATGTGACTACCAGTAGGAGTTAGGCTGGTGTGTTCTTGGGATGAGTTGTGGCCAGGGGGGGGGGGGAGCGTGAGTATGTGGGTGGGATTCTCGGGGACTGTCCTTCGTCTCCTTTCTCATCTTGAAATGATTACAGATCTTCAGGTTTAAGTTGTGGGTAGTTGGTAGTGGGAAGATAATGCATGGAGGGGGACTTGTTTTGCTTAATCTGTCGAAGTATGAATAGTCCCTAACAGACTGCATTCGATGTACATCCAGAATAAGTGTGGAATGTGTGTATCCTCGTGTTGGCTGTTTATAATGTGGACGGAAATCTGGCCAAGTCACATAATCGCACTGTTTTCGTTATATGGGGGCATATGTGCAAGCTCAGCTAAGCTTCAGGCGGCATGGGAGGCAGCCATAGTCCACTGCATTAGCATCAAGGCAACCGAGGGGCAGCGCTTTCGTATGCCATTGTCGAATCATGCACTGCTGAATGGACTGCCGCTATACTACTATGTAATATAATAAGGAGGACACCAACTAATGGCTCTCGTGCAGTTGCCACTCGCTGCGGTCAGCCAGGTGTGAGTCATGGATCACATACCGCGCTTGATATGACTTAGCCCACACCACACCCACAGCGCAGAGCACGCAATGTAGTGCGGAGATATGAGGGAAATAGGAAGCCATTGGCCACTGCAGTAAAAGTGAAAATTCGTGGCAGCCAGCCTTGCTTGCTGTTGCCTCTTGTCAGAGCGTATGCCTATCCTCTGCCACGCATCTTCCTTCCCACACACTCTAAATTCCTTTCGTCTATTTCTCCCATAGTCAGCAGTAAACCCCCATTCTCCAAAACGTATCAACCATGTCGTCTGCCGCCGGTAAGAAAGCTCTTCTTCTAGGTGCTGGATTCGTCTGCGAGCCAGCCGTGCAAGCCCTTTCCGACGCCGGGGTCCATGTCACCGTGGCCTGCCGCACGCTCAGCGCTGCACAATCCCTTGCGGGCAACTACAGTAACACCACAGCCATCGCCCTCGACGTTGCCAACGAGCTGGCTAAGCTCGACGCCGCCGTCTCCCAAGCCGACATCATCATCTCCCTAATCCCCTACATCTACCACGCCACCGTCGTGAAAGCCGCCATCGCCCATAGCAAACCCGTCGTGACGACCAGCTTCATCTCCCCAGCGCTGAGGGAGCTCGACTCCTCCGCCCGATCCGCCGGCGTGACTGTCCTCAACGAGATCGGCCTCGACCCCGGCATCGATCACCTCTACGCGGTGAAGACGATCGACGAAGTCCACCGGGCCGGGGGCAAGATCCACGCGTTCACCAGCTGGTGCGGCGCGCTGCCCGCCCCGGAGAACTCCGACAACCCCTTGGGGTATAAGTTCTCGTGGAGCCCGCGGGGTGGACTCCTGGCGCTGCTCAACTCGGCGCAGTGGTACCGCGACGGCCAGATCACCTCAGTGGAAGGCAAAGACCTGATGGCGGCCGCCACGGCGCAAGGCCTCTTCCCCGGATTTAATTTCGTTGGATATCCCAA